TTGTAGCTTTGTAATACACTGATAACAACCAAATGCAGGTGGTGATGAGAAAGTCACACGATGAACCAAAGCCCATCACAAGCAGCTTTTTAATAATAACATATATAGAAGGTGCACAGTGTCATTCACACAAACGCTAAACACCATCATGGTAACACACATGAAACTGAAATAATGCAATAAACATTAATTTTAACAACATTAGGTGTAACACACAACCCTACTATACAAAACTGATAAGAAAAAACTAAGAAACCGTTATTTCAACAAAAAAACATCAAATTTGAAATGTAACGCAGGGAATTCTGGGAATGTCAATTTACGGTTATTCACTGTAAATAATACGGTCTTTTTCACTTCCAAAAACGGTATACTACCGTAAAATTAATGTCCAATACATGTCCAATACAGTTTTTCACCGTATATAGTAGGGGAATTTACCGTTAACCATTAACAGGTTTTTACTGTGGACTTTTTACAGTCTTTTACCATTAAATTCACGGTCATTTTTTACAGTGTACAGTAATTTTTGCTATTAAAACATTAAATTAATTAAAAGTGTGATTTCAACAATGCATTAAAGTGGGGAAGAGATACTCTATCAAATTTAAATAAATTATAAAGACACATTTTAAAATCTATTTAAACTTCGAAAACTACTAAAACAATGTCTAAGAACTTGGTATTACAACCACTTCCTGTGTCTGTTTGCCTCTTTAAGAAGAATCGCTTTATGTATCCCCCAATTGTAAGTCGCTTTGGATAAAAGCGTCTACTAAATGACTAAATGTAAATGTAAATGTAAAAACAAACAAGCCAAAACCAATCATTAAAAAAACAGGGTAAAGTTTCCCTAATTGAAGAAACATCCATAAATAGTCAAAAAGTAAGTTCCACCTACAGTAACCTTCAGGGCTCCATACCTAATGAAATGAAAACTCTATTGAAAACTCCTGGAGATCTGTCAGGATGACTAAAGCATTCCTTTTGGAAGCAGCCAATAAAACAATTTCTGTTCACACCAACCCCTCCCGTCTCACTCACTCCATTCGCACACATTGCCCACCACAAATGAGCCCCTTTTTCGGGCGATTCTTTAAGCCGCATAGATTCTGTTTCTCTAGCGTCTCTGAGAAAGTAAACTTTGAGTGACCCTCCAGGTTAGTTTTGTCTGGGATTTCAGCATCGTTGGGTGAGTGGATGCTGTGGGATCAGGAACTGCTTCAAAGAAGAGATCACTTGCGTCAGGAATGCTCTTCTCTCACCAAGGGCCAGCAGCATTCTTGACCCTTAAAGACTAGTCAAACATTATTGAACGCTTCCCTTTTGTCATTGAAGAATCGAGCCACCACCTGATGTTGCCAGAGCAGAATCTGTGTCACAAGAAGCCACAAAATAACTCTATTGTCCCTAAATAAAGAGTTTGGGATCAAACCATGATGGCATTGGAAAATCGGATTCTTGACTGACAGCAGCTACAATTCAGGGTCACGGATTGAGATGTCACAGATCTGACAAATGGGCAACAAAAAGAAAATCACATTGACAAATGCAAAACTCAATATTACTAATAAAACTTTCAAAAATGCTGATATTAAATATAAATAATAAAAAACATGTATACACACAAATGAAAATGAAGTGTTTACTGTTTTGCATTATTACACTATTTTTCCTATTGAATACTGTAAATCTGCTTTGACAGTCTGTATTGTTAAAAGCACTATATAAGTAAATATAAACATGTAATATACATACATATATATATATATATATATATATATATATATACACACACACACACACATCAAGTAAAGTCACTTGACGTGTCAAGTTGTGTGTGTATATATATATATATACATACACACGATTAAAATATTACTTCCTTTTTTTCACAAGTTGTATTTTTTAAACATATAAATAACAATATTTATAAAGTATAAAATAAATAACAATATTTATGAAATAGCATGTGTGTTTGTACACACACACACACACACACACATTTAATGTAATAACAATGGAACAGTCATAATATAATATCAAAAGAAAATTGTTCAGTGTTTGAGTAGTCTTTAAGCATCAGGAATACATTAAAGACTACAAAAAAGTATATATATACATATGTGCATTTTTTTTATAATATAATTTTTAAGGCTATCCTTTTTTCAAGTTGTGTCCTTTTTTAAATGTAATTGTTCAATAACTTGGCTAATCTTTTAGTGTCAAGAATATATATTATATATATTACACAAACACCCACACCATTCTTGACCCTTAAAGACTAGTTTATACAAGGTAAAAAAAAAAAAAATAAGCTGAATTTTGAAATAACTTGAATTTTTAAGTAAAATCAACTTACAAATTACATTAAATTATATTAAACTGGCTTAAAATGAGTTGAAACTTGTACAACTGATAAATTTGAATATTAAAAAGTTGAAATCTGCTTAACTTATTTTGATGAGTTAATGTAAAAACACGTCATAACTTATTGGTCATCTTTTTTTTTGTAGTCTATAAAGTCTAAAAGCTACTAAAAATGTTTCAAATGGGAGGAAAATAAAAAAAAAACATTATGTCCTTTGATACAGGATTATTTTTTTCCAAACAGGAGGATTACGGGTTCAATTGTGGGCATTATTGTGCTCTTCTCATATTGCTCAGAACACACCTGCCAAAAGAACGCCGATAACGAAGTGTAGACAAGCCGGATCAAGCTAAAAGAAATATCAGTTCACTGCTTAAAATGATAGCATTTCCGACCTGCTCATCACTGCTGTCTGTGTCAGTACAAAGTCAATGTCTGCATGCATTAACCAATCATTCAGTCATTGAAACAGTAATATCACACGCACACAGGAGCTGCATAACCAGCATTTCTCCCTCGGGCTGGATTTACCAGTCTTTCACACCTGATCGAGCATGATGAAAACAAAGAAAATCTTACCTTTCAGTGCTTGCTCTTTCTTGAAAACACGGGAGAGCAGACTACGCCAAACTTAGGAGAACAGCTATCTGCAGATTCTGAAACGCATTCAAAGTCCAATTTACACAGGCATTACTCATATTTGACAACATTAAATTGCAGAGCAGATGTGAGCATATAAACCATAAGAAGGAAGAAACATTCACATTTTGCGAATGCTCATTTTGGGGCTGACGAACACACAAGAGCCGATTTCAGAGAATTGTTACCTAACAACACATTTAGTTTGTTGTCACTTTGAATAAGGCTGCTTTCTCCTTTGTCTGAAATGAATACTGAACTCACTGGCCAGAACACCACAATGTTTGAGTTAGTTTAACATACTAAACTCATTCTCACCAAACAGTGTGTGTGAGAAACCGAATGATTCATGTCTTCTCAGCGCACATCACCTTCAGTGGAAGTATGACTGGATGCACATATTAAACGTTCGGATTCCTTGCGTGAGAAGGCAGACAACACAAATGAAACAGCCTGCAGGTTAGACTCCTTCTATCCAGTTAAAAAAAAGTCAAGTGCGCATGAGGAACTGTACTTTACATAAAACACATTCTGTTCACTACTTATAGTTTAGCAGATCACTTCATTAGCTTTCAATACATCGACCAAAATCAACAAAGAATCAGGATGAACCATCATATATCATATTTTGACTAATTATTTAACTTGATCAATCCCAAACAAGAGCACAGTCTTGCTTTTCTCTCATTAAAATGTGTGGAGCTGCAGAGATTACAATAAGCATTTAATTTCAAGATTCAACGGGGAAAATAGCCATAATGGCTAATAATACTCATCAGAGATGTCTGAAAACCTCAAGGAAAACAAAAAACAAACTCTACAACATCTACTGTCAGTACTTCAGTGTCTCTGCACGTCATGCAGCATCCAGACAGTTCCTCAAAGTGATCAGTGGAGATTCTTTGAGTCCTTTTAAAATACATGATCAGTCATGTGACCGCCACTGGCTACATTCTCATGCACAATAATAAAAAAAAAGAGCCACAAGCTCCAGTGAATTACAATGTTAACCCCTAAGTAGTTCACATCAGCAGTGAAGATATTTGTGGCATTCCCAGGGTAAATTCCTCACTGAATCAAAATATTTCAAATAATAACTTGTAACAATCCTGACTGCAGTAATCTGGAAAATAACTGGGTAGAAATAAATTGGTGCGATGTTATTTTACTCCTGTCATAGGATGTTAAAAGAACAGTTTAAAGCAAAAAATGAAAACCCTGTCATTTGCTTACCCACATATTGTTCCAAACCTCTATGACTTTAATAAAAAGAGAATTTTTCAAGAATTGCACTGGTCGCTCAGTCCGATTCATTAACAAATCCAAAATGATTCAAACATTGCTATACCCCACCAAGATTGGTATTAAAAAATGACTTCGATTTCTACCTTCAGATGTCTATAGAAGACTTGCTATATTGCACACAAATCATATAGACCATGTTTATGATGCTTGTGTCATTTTTGAAGATCCAATCCTCATTCAGATGGTCCTCAGAACAGTGTTTCATAATTTCTGTTTGGAAAACACTCATGCAACTTTGGAAGGACATGCGACATTCATAAATAATGTAAGAATCCTTTAAATTTACCTTAGCAGTCATGTATTAAAAATGCAGAACTTCAATGCGAAGAGGCCATGTGCTGGTTTGATGATGTCATGATGATATAGTCACCCACACATGAAGGTAAAAATAAAATTAGAGTGGCAAGACACATGCATGTTCATATATTCTTTATATAATGTATATTAACCTAAATCTAATACAGCATCAAACTTAAAAATGGGGGGGGAAAGTGAGAAAAATAAACAAGTATTAAACCAAATATAATCATTTTGGGTATAAGGAAGAAGCCAGGATGATGGGCTGTCCAGGGCTGTGCTGAGAATCAGGGACTCTGAGAACCTTGGGAAAGGAAATGGTCCAGCGTTCTCCAGGAAATGTCTCTTTGTATGACTTTTATTTATTTGTCTTTTTTTTTACTTGATATTTTTTGTCTCATTTCAACACAAAACATGTCTAAAAAGCAGCCGCAGTGAGAAGTCCTTGTCTGTGAGGCTGGCTGTTTTAGACTTCCACACCTCTGCTTGTTTTTTTAGTTTTTTTTGTTTTCGGTTACTTTACGTTTTGGGTGGAAAAAGAACATTACACTGCAGTTATGAGAGGAGAGTGATCGTTTATCCATGTGCTTGTGAAGGCCTCCGTGTGCATAAAATGTACACTCAGCATTCATATACAACGCACTGTGTGATAGTGTGAGAAGGCTTGTGTGTGTGTGTGTGTGTGTGTGTCTGGTCGCTGTGGACATCATGCTAAAAGTTCTTTGCTTATTCTTCTTGTTCGCCTCAGGACGTCTCAGATCAGTCCTACTCTTTGGCCTCCAGGAACAGGGTCTCCTGAGGGAAGAGTTTAGCCTCCACCAGACTCCACGCCGGGTCTATCTGCGTTATCTGGGAAGAGATGGAAAAAAAAAAAGCAAATTTGAGATGTTTTTCAATGCTCAAGGAATACATTTTTTTTGCCAATTTTAAGACCAAGGAGGATGACTATAACGACATATCTGTGGGGTATTTTGAGCTAAAACTTCACATACACACTCTGGGGACATCAGAGACTTATTTTACATCTTGTAAAAAGGGGCATAATAGGTCACTTTTAAAAGAATAACAATAAATAAAAATGCATTTTATTTAATGGCGCCTTGTAAACACCCAAGGTCACCTTACAGCAAGCAAAATAGTAAAAATAAAATACAAAAAAGTCACAATAGACAAACAAATCCTGGCAGCATTACAAAGTTCAACAGCACAACTGCATACATACATCATAACTACAAGTAAATAGTATGGAAGCCTGTTTGAAAAATGTAATTGTAACTTTTTAGCTCACTATTTTGACTTTCAATTCTGAGAAAAAAAAAGTTAGAATTGACTCTGAAAAAAGTGTCCAAAATGCAATATATAAACTCAGAACCTTCTTTTTCGCAATTGAGTTTTTTTTCCACAGAATTCTGAGTTTATATCTCACAATTCTGACTTTTTGGTTCCGCTACGGAATAAAATAAAATGGGTAATTGCAACTTTTAAATCAAACAATTCTGATATATTTTCTTGCAAATGTGAGTTTATATCTCACAATTCTAACTTTATTCTCAAAAATGCAAGTCATCTCGCAATTGTGACTTTTTTCAGTGTATATCTTGCAATTCTTCGTTTATATCTCGCAATTCTGAGAAAAAAAGGTCACAATTACCTTTTTAATGTGTTTTTTATATAAATCTTGTGGTGGAAACAAGCTTCCATAGACTAGCAAAGTCCATATCAAAACTGTAACAATAACAGCACAGATGAATGATATAGTTGGAATCACTTTCAGAATGACTTTTTTCCAGCTGATGAATGCTAAAAACATTGACAGCCGATCAGAATCCATCTTTTTTTAAAGAGCTCAAGCGTTTCAAGCGGCAGACGACAGAACTGCAGGATGCACTTACAATAAACCGAACGCTTTATGGATGCTAATATAGTTATTATAGTAATCTTTCGTTCTTGTTATGAACAGGCCATTATTGCAATATTAAGATTGTAAAAAAGCTGTTCATGAGGTGTGCAGGTTAAGTCTGGCCATTCCTCCTAAACTAAGCGATGTGTGGGGCCTAGCCTTCTGATGTCATTGGTTAGCGCCGTAATGCGATAATGTCCCCGTGTGAGGTACGTGTCCTGTTTCCCTTTGGGATAGTAGCTGTTTGTTATCGCAAATGGACCGATCCAAACCAAACACAATAGCAATGGGGTGAGAACTCGTCAGCCACTAATAATCTCCATGAGTGAAGCCCGACTTCATTATCCAAGAGCAATCCAATCACTGGCCACACTTTTAACAGCAAACTAACTGACATTTGTGCTGACACGACCATCATCCACATCTCGGTTCAGGGATTTTCCCAGCCGATGAGGAGTGACTAGCGCTTGTGTAAGAGGCTTGCGATCCTGCGCAGAGAGAGAAAAGGAAAGCGGAAGATGATGGCTGCATTGTAGTGAGCTAATAGCAGGGCGTTCTCTTGTTACACGGGGCCTTTGCTCACACCTGGGTGTCCACACCTCGTACGGCCACAGTGCTCAGGACAGGGGCTTAACTGCAGCCTGGTGACAGGGCTCTGATTAAGGCCTATTCTCTCCTCCGAAGACCCCTCCAGCTCTACGTGTTTGTAATTAAAACACAGAGCTGAAAGCAGCTGGACTGGAAGGTCACAGGGTTGGAGAATAAAGCTGTGTATAGTGTAATTTCTGTTAAAGCAGTCAGGACATTGGACAATATTACAAAGCTGATGGAATAAAAAGAATATATGCAACATACTGAAAAAAAAAAAAAAAATCTCAAAAACCATTCCATATTTCATGGTTTCTAAGGTGTCATGGGTGCTTTTCTTACTGGCCCAAATCAAAATGCCTACTCATTTTTGCCACAATAATGAGAAAAAACTCTGTAAAGTCCTTTTTGAGAAACTGAGGAATAATTAAAATAATTTTCTGTGGTAACTGGCAGCTTGCCACATTATAGATATCACCGAATGAATGCATTATATCATGAATAGCAATTTGTATAGCATTTACAGCACAGATTAACCTTAATAATAATTATACTATTGTTCATTAATGTTAATTTACATAACTTAAATAGCTAAAAATGTATGTAGTACTGTTCAAAATTTTGGGGGACTTTCGCCAGCTCTCTTACGCTCACAAAGGCTACATTTATTTGATCAAAAATACTGTAAAAACAGTAATATTGTGAAATAATATTACAATTTAAAATAACAGTTTTAGATTTTAATATATTTTAAAATATGATTTATTCCTGTGATGACAAAGCAGAATTTTAAGCAGCCATTACTCCAGGCTTCAGTGTCACATGACTCTTTAGAAATCATTCTAATATGCTGATTCTGTGCTTAAGAAATATTTCTTTATGTTATAACTATATGTACTTTTGAAAAGAGCGGTGCTGCCTAATATTTTTGTGGAAACTGCAACAGATTTTTTTTCAGGATTCTTTGATAAATAGAACATTAAAAAAAAAATGCAATTTGTAGCAATTTAAAAGTCTTTACTGTCACTTTTGTTAAAATGAATACTTTCTTGCTGAAAAAAGTATCCATTAAAAAATCCAACTTTAAACATTAGTATATGTAGAAATTAACAATCAAAATTAATAAAAAGTACTTTTCATTGTTAATTTTTGATACTTAATTACACACATATGTTGTCAATAAATTTTATTTAACTTGAAATATACTTTAAAGGTAGAATTCTGCTAACAAAAACAATAATTCTAATGTCTAAAAAACAAATTTTACATTTAAAAAAAAAAGAAATGTTTTGAGGTAAAGGCCTCGTTGGGACACACCTGACATGAAGCACTGCACAGACAACAGTAAGTTCAAAGTGACAGCGTATTATCGGCGGGTTTGGCATCTCGAAGGGGGGTAAGTACAGATATCACACCCGCTTCAGCACATTAGCTGTGTTGCCCCAAACCTCATTTTAGCGTGTGACTTATGCCTTTTGTTTTTCAATCTGACCTGAGGGCACAGGAGGGGGTAGTAAGATGTCGTAAAAACACGTCGCTCCCACCAGGATGCCTTCCCTTTCTTTCATACGAGCGCTTTAAGAAAAACTTAAAATGGAAATGAACCCGAAAACCTGCTATAACACCACAGCGTCAGGTAGAAGTAAATGAGGTTCTAGGGTGGCGCAGATGTGTGCGTGTGTTTGTGTTGATGACTGTTCTCTTTTAAAGGGGAATGAGAGAAACAAGGTGGCACTCCAATGGCAGGAGACAGATGCCATGGATGATTGTTTACATTGTTATCCAATTAACAGACCATAAGAGGAGAAGCATCTGTCAACAAACAAAGCTGTTGTTTTCCTCCACTCTCCTTGTCTTTCGCTCTTTTTCTTCCTCTCACTCCCTCCCTCTTTTCCCAGCACTTGTTAGTTTCTTCAGAAACCTTCTGTTTGGCCCTTCTGAATGAAATTAGACTTCGCTGTGCAACAGCGATTGCACTTGTGCTTCTAACACTTCGACTGACACACAAACGCACACTCACACAGAGTCATAAAATTAAAGTACGATTACAACCCCCTGACTGACAACCTTAACCCGCAATGCACCGACGGGGGATGTTAAGACCAAATGAATTCAAACGTGCCCGGGTAGTGAGATCTCCACTCCAGAACAATACGTTCTCCGACAGCCAAAGTAAACAGAAGAAGAAAAGAGATCATTTGAAGGGTGTGGAGACTCATATCACCGTAATCCTGAAGAGGTTTATTAAAGCAAGAAGTGGCTGTGCGATGGAGGAGAGGCCCGGGCGGCTGTTTTCTTTGGGCCTTGATGATGTTGATGGCAGGTAATCCTGTTAAACCTTTAACACACTCATCTTCAACGGCCCCACACAGTCACCAAACAAACACAAGACAGCCGCCCAGATGACCACAGGAAAAGGGGCACGAGAGAGAGAGAGGGAATCCTGCTCTCCAAAAGTAGAGTGCTACTCGACTTCTGAGCCCTAAATGGAACGATGACCATTTACAAGCCATTGAAAAGGAGCAAAAAAAGGTAACAAAAAAAGTTGAATGCATACTACCGTTCAAAAGTTTGATGTCTGTTTTTGAAAGAAAGGCTCTTATGCTTACCAAGACTGCCCCTTATTTGACCAATACATTCAGTAAATATTGTAAAATATTATTACAAAAGTTTCCTATTTTTAATACATTTACAATGTAATTCATTCCTGTGATGGCAAAGCTGAATTTTCATCAGCCATTACTCCAGCACTGTGTCACATGATCCTTCGGAATCATTCTAATATTCTGATTTGGTTTTAATCAATTTATTAAAACAAAATGTAACTACTGTAGACAGCTATTTGTATTAATCTGTCTGTTGGACTGTAAATGTTTGTTTTTTTATTATCCTCACTTTATAAGTTATTAGATTATTTTTAATAATTATATATTAAAAATACATAGGGTCAATAAGATTTTTCTCTTATGCTCACTAAGGCTGCAATGATTTGCCTTGCTGAGCAGTAAAAACAGTAATAGAGTGAGATATCACTATGAATTAGAGTACTGTTCTATTATATTTTAAAATAGAATTTATTCCTGTGATGGCAAAGCTGAATTTTCAGCAGCTATTACGCCAGTTTTCAGTGTCACACAATCCTTCAGAAATCATTCCAATATGCTGATTTAGTACTCAAGAACCATTTTTTTATCAGTGTTGAAAGCAATGTCATGCATCCATGAACACCATGCTACATTTTTTTTTTCAGGATTCTATGATTAATATGAATTTCAAAAGGAAAGCATTTATTTGAAATGGAAATCATATAACATTGTAAATGTCTTTAGTGTTACTTTTTGATCAATTTACTGCATCCTTGCTGAATTAAAGCATTATTATTATTATTATTTAAAAAAGAAAATCTTACTCAAACTTTTGATTTGTAGTGTACAAAAAAATATTAATTAATACAAATAAGCAAATGCAACTAAAGGCTAAATGTAAAGATTTAGGCCCAAATATAGTGGAACTTATAATAAATAGTATAATAAGCTTCTATATTATATACAATAATAATTTTAAAAAAGTGCAGCTGAAGGGAAAATTCACCAGCACTGTTAGTGTAAATATGTCTTCATGTGAAATTTGAGCAGTACTTTTAGATTAAAAAGAAAAAGAACACCAAGAAAATTCATTTGCATCACTGACTGTACTGTGTACATTTCTACAACCAGACTATTTGAAAAGTCCTGAGGGAATCAATACGGAGTTCACCGGAAAACAAAATAAAAGCTGAATGTCTCAGAGCATTATTAACTGATGTCACTTGCAGCTGCCAGTTCAGTTTAATTAATTTCATTATTAGTATACTTAAGGATTAACCTGATCAATAACACAGTAAAAACTCATTAAAATGTCAATACAGAGTTTCATCATAAAGCAGGTGTATGTTACCAGGCCGCTGCAAAGTAAACTACGTGAAGGCATTACTATAAATTAAGAACACACAGGTTTTAAGAAAGGTCTGGCTTCCGAATCACGTACTCAAAACATTTAAAGCAAATTAGTAATAAGCTGAACGCCAGTCTTCCCTGATTCGTAGCGAGATTTGTTTAAACTGAACATCTCCACTTTAAAAGCCAGGCAAATAAATATTGCCATTCATTAGCACTAATAAAAGGACCTGCAATAAACGGCTAAGAGAGAAGGAAAATAAAGACCTGACACGCGAGATGTGGTTTTCCAAACAGAAGGAAAAAAGAAAAGGGAAAAAAGCAAACCAACAAAAAAAAGAACAAAATATATACAGCTGAAACAACAGTTATAATGAAGCCATTTAGGGTCCTCCACCATTAATTAAAACGCAATAGCCAGGTCTGTGTTAGCGCTGTGTTGTAGAGTGTTTATTTGGCCAATTAGAAAAGCGGTGGGAGATCATTATCTGCCTGCAGGAGCGGTGAGGGCATCAGCGTTCGCAGTGTTGGAGTAAGACTCTGCTAAGGGCCGGCCGAGGGTGGAGACGGAGGGGGGAAGGAGGGTTACCACCTCTGGGGAGAAGTCAGTTCTGGCTCCCTGCTTGTCTTTAGCATGACCACGGGATGCTAAGGGGGGTCTAAAGGCAAGAAGCCAACGCAAATGCACAGACAGGCCAGGTGCTGACGTAAGAGATGTGAAACTACACATCTAAATGACTCTCTTGAGGGTAGAAAGAACAGATGTTTTATCAAGCAGTGGTTTTGCAACTGGTTTGGTCTGGTGACCCAGACTTTGGACATCACATGATGACCCCAAAAGATTTATAAAGATGAATAATAAAAAGTGACCTATAAGCCACACTTTATAAACATATAATACATATATTTTTATATTATATTTTATATTAGAAATTATAATATTGCAATTATGTAAAGCTGACACGCAAAAAAAAAAAAAATATATATATATATGTATAATATATGTATGTACATATATACTACCAGTCAAAGGTTTGAGATCAGTAAGACATGTAATGTTTTTTAAAGAAATCTCTTACGCTCATCAAGGCTGCATTTATTTGATCAAAAAAACAGTAATCTTGCAAAATGTTGTTACAACATAAAATAATGGTTTCTATTTTATTATCCTTTAAAATATAATTTATTTCTGTGATGCAACGGTGAATTTCCATCAGCCATTCCTCCAGTATAAAGTGTTACATGATCTATCTATCTATCTATCTATCCACACACATACATGTTATATTGTATATATTACAATATTCATATTATACTGTATATTTCAATTTTAAATATTCTATATTTGTCTATTCTTTAAGTGATTGCTATATATATAACAATATATACAATATAACACATTATATATAGATAGATAGATGTGAATTATATTATATTATATACATATTATATTGTATATTACAATTATAAATATTCTGCATATTCAGCATTTCTGTCTATTGTTTAAGTTAGTACTATATATATTGTATATTTCAATTATAAACAATTATAAAACCATTTATGAATTTTTCATGAATTTTTATAGAAAAAGTTGACAAGCTCATTCATCTTCATTTCATGGTTAGTTTCGCCTTATTATTTGCATTTAGCTTTGTTTTCTCTATTCCGAACAGACCTGTTACTCATTTTTGGGTCAGAACCCACCAGCTGAGAAGCACCGTTCTACAAGCAACACACATGAGATTAGATTACTCATCCAAGAGATCCTCACGTATCCCGAGTTGGATAACCAAAAAACAACAGAAAACAAAAAGAACTCGTCAGATGATTGGAGGTCCCCTAAGCGCTGGTGTGAGTGGCAATGTGACTGTGCCATGACATTAATGAGTGTTATGAATAGAAAGGGAATCCTGAGGCTGCTTTTCTAATCCTTCCTCACGCTCTCGCTCAGAAGAGTGCAGGTGCATTGGATCTGTCCATCAAAGAGAAGAAAAGAGCAAACAAACTGACAAACACAACCCTCGCAGGCCGCAAATGAAACAAAAGCCTTCAGACACTTTTCCATCTCTCTTGCTTCCCTCCTTTTGCTGGATACACATTTCACCCTCCGCAGAAACACGCAACTCGGTTCTCTTTTGATTTCCAAACAGAGATTGTGAATAAATGCAATACAACGTGTAAAATGCTGTTTGTTGGGTGTGAGGCTGCCCGAGTAGCAGTGTTTAAGGTGGACGCTGACTGTTTATGAGCACGATAAGGCATTTTGTGCGTGTTTAAAATTGTGAGTTTGTTGGGGCCCTTAACGCTCGTCCCCAAAGGGTTTGGATGGCATGCTGTCTGGGCAGGCCTGCGCACATCTCTTGATTAATGGAAAGCCCATTTCTGTTTCCATGCTGTTAATTAGTCAGGTCGTTAAGAGCAGAGCTTGTTATCTACCTGCTGCAGAGTGCACAAACGCAGCACTTTAATGACACAAACACACTCACACACAGGAAAAAGAACTGCTGAATGTATCTGAAGTAGCCAGTGCACCTTTATGCTTCTGAGGACTGCAATTAATATTCCGTAAATGATTTATGCACTTGTGGATAGATCTAAAAAAAAAAAAAAAAGGAAAAATAAAATACACAAGAGGAAAAGAAATACTAATTAACCAGGCATGGCTTTTAATTAATGTGCAGGTGTGTGACTATCTGTGGACTTGTACAGTACACACACACAGACTAAGATGAGCAACAAACTTCTGCCACACGCTGGGATTAACTAGCCAATTATACACTCTATTTTTCCTGCTGAGCTGTAACACTCACACACACTCTTCGCACACACACACGCACGCACGCACACACACAGTTATTAGTGCACCGCAGATGGACAGGAATTAAAAGATATTCACCATCAGTGGGGCTCTAGACTAATATCAGTCATGTTCCAGCATGGGGAAAGTTGCCCACAGAAAATATATTAAACAGGAAGGAGGAGGGTGTTCCAGGACTATGTGCACACTTGGGTACTTATAATAGCTGTTATGAGTGGGGTAATGGTCATGACCGATATCATTATGATATACATGTGTTGCTCTAGTTATTTGCACCCAAATTTGCAGAAAAATGTCTTCAGTAGTTAAAAACAATAACTAAAAATATATAAACAATGCTTCCTTTTTTTGAAAATATCCTTAAATATCCTTTAAAGAAAAAAAGTGATTAATAAATACACAATAATAATAATAATAATAAATACATTAGTGATATACACACTTTATATAAAATGTATTAAACAATTTATTATATAATAATAAAAATAATGTTATTCATCATTTTAATATTCAAGTTATATATACACTATATATACAGTTAAAATAAACAAAATTCATTATATAATTTAAATATATAATACAAAATGTATCAATTGTGTCTTATATATAGTACTAATATGTAATTTTAAGAAACTATAAGTGTATATTTATGCATTTATTCATATTTATTTATACTGTATTTTAAAAAGTGTAAAAAGTTTTAGTGTAAGTTTAAGGATTATTTTAGGGTCAAAATGCATATAAATTCGAAGACATTTATTTGAAAACTACATACATCTATAGTAAATGTTTGTGTGCATGTGTGAACTCACATTTCTGCGTGGAAAGGTGGTGAGCAGTTTGAACTCATCGGATGGGTAGCCCTTGGAGGCGACGAAGTCAAACAGGACCTGGAGTTTACAGCTGCCCAGGAACTGCCTTTCCAAAAACTTGCCGCTTGGCGTCCGGATGCGCAGCTTGCTGATTGGCTCTCCGCCCTCCTCTTTGGGCTCTGGTGGCAGGGCCTGCTCCAATGAGAGACGGATAGCCTGCGCAGGGGACAGCAAAACGGTAACATTATGGCAAAACAATCGTATCTCATGAACTAACCACTTCATAAATCTTCTGTTTGGAATGCGAAGGTTTAGAGCTCATTTAATATTAAAATGACTATAAAACCACAGTACTGTACCACATAACATATATATGCATGGATCTCATTAAATTGCAGCACGAAAGTCATGCGTCAAAGGTCCTAAATTTAGCGCTCCATCACAGCTTGAACGTGCCACACAAAAAAAATCTTTCCATTTTGCACGTCATAGAAATATCACACTGTAAAAAAAAAAATAAAAAACGAGTCAAAAGCGAGGGACGGGGAGGGAAACAGCGAGAAGTCGCATACACATTTAAAGAGAACAAGCGCGAAAGCGAGAGGGAGAGGTGAGGGAATTGCGCCATCTCTAGTGACATGGAGCACGACCTGCCGCTCCTCTGGGCTTTTCAACTCCAGCTTGTTGTTCCTGTTGTGACACTGGGCAGCATATGCTGTGACAAAACACGCAGGCTTTATTTACACACCATAATGCAATTATATTTCATCAAAGTGTACAACAGTAGCTCATTAGCAGCAGGTGGCTTGGGTGAGCGCGTGCCGGCCCCACTCCCTTAGGTAGGGGCCGTGTGTAAAAAGCCCTCTGGGGGGCGAACAGCGTCTCTCCCCAGCCCTGCTCGGGATGTATGTGTGCACTGTGTTTCCTGGTCCCTGCGCATAAAGGGCACTGAGGAGCATCCTTTTCACTGCGCTAAACAAATAGAGTGTGTGTGTAGCACCTGACGGCAGAGAATAATGACATCACCACTCCCCCTCGGCCTTTCATGCGCTGTCTGGGTCACAAAAGAGTCCAAATCACAGAGCATTTCCCCTCTCTACTTCTCTATACACTTCTGCTGATTGTTTCCCTCCAGTGCGCCTATTGTGGCCACAGACCCACCGAGGTGCTGTGGTTTGGGCGTGTGCGAGGGTGCGCGCGTGCTTGGATAGACTCCAGGTGGGGAGCATCTTACCGCCTTGTTTACACACACACAATGTCACAAAAATGACGCACGGGAAGAAGCGCAGATACACGCACGCCACATACGGCCAAACTGTAACAGCTGCTGAAAATCGCAGAAATGAATGTATGCCATTTGAATCTAATCTTTCCCTTCAAGAGCAAGAGGTTAATTACGATTGTGTGCGAATCTAAACGATGTCATGAAACGTAACAGGTGACCTCTAAGGTGCAGGAATCGAAGACATGTCACCCGTTTCACAGCTTGGAGATTCAAGTCCAAAGGCGTGACGTTTCAGCATGGAAGGGGGAAAAAAGCAAAAACGGTCATTTGAAGTTTAGTGCAGGTGATTTTATCTGTTTAAACGTGTGTGTGTGTGTGTGTGTGTGTGTGTGTGTGTGGGTGTGTTTCAAGCCTCTTCTCCCCTTGGGTTCATTACAGACAGCAGTTGAACAACTTTAGACCCTGCTCTCATTAAAACACAAGGCTGCTGCTGAGTTAACAGCTCACACACACACACACACACAGGACTGACACAATTACTTCGCCTCCAGGCCGTCTTTGTGTTTACCTCTTCACAATATGCCTCATATTAAAAGCTTTGTCCAAGACAAGCATTAAATGAAGCTAAAGTGAGCTATTGTAGGGTATCGTATGTTTGAAGGTCTATACTGTAGCCTACACACCACGTCCTGACAAGAATGGTACCATGGCAATAGGAGATTGAACTAATTATGTGCTTTTGTTGAAGCCTAAAAGTGACAAATGATCTCATATAGCAGTTTCACCTGAGCTGGTCCGGTTAGTATTTACTGCTGAATAAACAGACGATAATCTGGCGACACTGGTGTGGTGGCTTTTTTGTGTTTTTGGTGAGCAAATATCTTATTAAAAAGAGTGTGTGTTGAACTTGTAAGCACACTAAATGAACAAGTACACTTTGTGCCACAAACTGTCTTTAGAAAGAGCTCTAAACCACACCATCTGTAATAAATTTGAATGTTAATACGGTGGTATTGTATTCTGCTGATCAGCTGATAGGGAAGGGGTATATTTGCTTACTCCTACATCTACAGGTGAGATTTAACTTTCCGTGACACTTTTTGATGCCGTCTTTGTGAGAGTGTCAGTGCTTTGACATGCACCTGTCGTTTTGTACAGCTCGTATACGGGGCGATAGTGCAAACACTGCAGGAGTACGCGGGCAGATTGCAAATAAGTATGTGATTTGTGCAACAATGTAAACTGTGTGTTTGATGAGAGTGGTTACGACAGGACACGAAGCTTTATGGCTGTCACTGCTATTTGTCATCTTATGAGGCGTGAAATCCCATTTAAGTGACATGTTTAGAATATCCATAAACACATTAAATGTCAATGTGAGTGAAACTGTCAGGTTTAAATTTGGACTTAAAGCACGGGTGTCATTTTTGTGCTCATTTTTTTCGGCTTCAATGGATCAGAGAGAGTGGTTTTAAAGATTTAAGATGTTTTCAAAAGCATTAATGGCTCTTTTGAACCAATTAACTGGAACTAACTGGTAACGCAGAGTAATTGTAACATAATGCAGGAAATCAGTCATATTTGGCAAGGAAACAAAGCTTCGCTGGGCTCTACGTAGAATAAAACAAGGAAACTAGTAAATTTCTGTGAATTCCAGTTCTTTTACAAGGAAGGATCATGATTACATGGCCTGTATCGTGCTACTTTTAAGGTGAATTATTTAGGGTCATTCTGAAATTTTCTTCTTTTCACCAACCTTTGAGAGCTTGTCATATAAACCGTGTTATTGAAACAGTCACCAAACCGGTGAAACTCAAAGTAAACCTCACCTCTCGTTCTTCCTCCTGCTCTTTCCTGATTCGCTCCTGACGGACTTGCTCTGCCTCTTCTCGCTCTTGCGCTTCTCTCTGAAAAAAAAAAAATCACATTAACTAGCAACATACTATACTAAAATACCTCAATAAGAATTTTACACAATCATTCAGCAATTATACTTCTAAATTAAATGAAAATAAATATAAATAAATAGATAACTTTAAATAAATAAAAACAAACAAACAAACCAAAAAAGGAAATCTGAGCAAAAAAGGAGCAAAAAAGGACATTTAATATCTTGCCAAACCTTTTTACGGTCAGCCTCCAGAGACAAACGATAAGCTTCATCCTGCTCTCTTTTGACCATTTCTCTGGCTTCACGTTCATCCTGAAAGAAAAATGAGGGTGAATAAAATTAATGTCATGAACTAATCATCTAAAATTAGAACAACAATTTTTAATTTCTGAAATTAATATGAACATTAATATTTACTTTTTTATATACAGGGGGATCCAAAAGTAAAAAATAAAATAAAATAAATTAAAATAAACTTGGAAGTAAACAATAAAAGATTTGTCTAAATTGAAGACATAATAATTATTATTAATACAAAAACATTAATAATAATAATAATAATAATAATAATAGTAATTTCTGAAGTGAATATGAACATTAATATTTACTTTTTTATATGCAGGGGGATCCAAAAGTAAAAAATAAAATAAAATAAAATAAATTAAAATAAACTTGGAAGTAAACAATAAAAGATTTGTCTAAATTGAAGACATAATAATTATTATTAATACAAAAACATTAATAATAATAATAATAATAATAATAATAGTAATTTCTGAAGTGAATATGAACATTAATATTTACTTTTTTATATGCAGGGGGATCCAAAAGTAAAAAATAAAATAAAATAAAATAAATTAAAATAAACTTGGAAGTCAACAATAAAAGATAATAAAAGATTTGTCTAAATTGAAGACATACTAATAATAATAATAATAATAATAATAATTATTATTATTATTATTATTATTAATAATAATACAAAAACATTAATAATAATAATAATTTCTGAAATGAATATGAACATTAATATTTACTTTTTTATATGCAGGGGGATCCAACATAAAATAAACTTGGAAATAAACAATAATAGATTTAGCTAAATTAAAGACAATAATATTAATAAAAACATTAATAATAATAATAATAATAGTTTAAAAGTAAGTAAATAAATAAACTAATAAATAATTAAAGTTTTAGGTCTATTTTTAGGTCACTGATTGGAAAAGCAAGTAGATACTGACCATGTGAACTAAGTTGTCAAAAGACTTTTAACTACTTACTAATACTGTTTAGCTGATGATATAATTAGGAAAAAGGCATTTTTCTAGTAGTCTCAGAATTTATTTATATTATCACTAGATTTCTATTATCTACATCCTATACCAGGCTAGCCAATAAGAGCATGTCTATCCAGATAACAATCCCACTGGATCTTTTACGTATGAGATGGTTCCTCGTCATTGTCAACAGTAATGGCCACATACTGAATACTATTGTATTGTCGGACACACTAACTGGGGACGACTGAAAGAGTATCTTATAGAAGTGAATGCATGGAGTTCCTCTACATACAATGGACAGGCTCTTTTATTATTGTGAGTGTGTGTGTGTGGATCCTGTTTGTTAAAACCCAGCTGCAGGTCTACCTGCTGAGACTGAAGACTGTGAATAACTACTGTTGCTTTTGTGCATTCAGGCTCGTGCGATTGTCTGCGGCCGCTTTTAAGACTAAGGGTCTTTTCTCCTGGCTGGACTTTGTGTGGAAATGTGAAAAAGAGTTGTGACTACACAGAGCAGAGGAGAAGAAAAGGAAGGATAGAGAAGAGAAAGGAGCAATAGAGCACAGAGGCTGATCAAAGGAGAGATACATCCTCAAATTCTATTCAAACGAGCTGTAAAAGAGTGTGTGAAATCCATGTTGTGGTATAGGAAGAGTTTGTGGGCTGTGTGTGGGTCTCTATTCGTAAAGTCAGAACACTGAAACAACTCAGGTGTATCGGGATTACAAACAACTGGATCTTTTATCTGAGGGCTGGAAATAAGAACAAAAATCGTATAAGGCAAAATCTTTCAAAAGGACTTTCAAAAGCCACTGTTATAATAAAGCAATTAGTCATGAGAGGCCATGTTTTACACTGAATTCGCCATAGATAAGTGTTGTTAGATACAAGGCATGTCAATAATAAAAAAAATAAAAAATAAACCTCTCACAGCTTACTGGGTTCACGAAATGGTGACAACAACCTTATTATGAAAGAATAATTAAATGTATTTTTACTAAACAACATTAACAACATTAACAGTAGCCATTTTTCCACCAAGTAGTATAGTAGTATAGTTCATTATCCAAACGGCAACCTAGAGCAACACAAAAAAACACAACAAAACAAAACACAACGAAGAAAAATTGATTAAAAAAAAAAAAGTTTAGATGTTGTGACTGGTCATACCGTAGATATACAAATGTAAAATTCATAGTAAAATTAAAACAAAACAAACAAACAAATTTACAGTACAATTTACAAAATAATATTAATAATAATAAAATAAGGTTTAGGTGTTGTGACAGGTCATCAAAATGTCCAGAAAATTTACAGCCAGTCTCTTTTGGGAAAATCTAAAATGTAACATTCAAAATGATTTCTATAATGCCCTTGACTAGCAATATCAAGTAGCAAATCATAATTCATGGCTGTCATCCAAGCTAAAATCTATTGGCCATTAAAAAAATAGTAATGAATTTTAACATATAAAGTTAATGATCAAATTCATAAGTAGTCCAATTTGACCAATTTGATTATCAATTTACTCCACTTGTATCCTTCTATATGAACTAAGCAAAGCATTCTTTCAATGCTCTGTCAAAGAGAAAAAGAAAGTGTAAGTTGAAAATAATTAAACAGGGTGAGTAAAGAATGTGAAAGCTTTCTCCCATGTTTTTTTTTTCTCTGTTACACTCTACATACAGTGAGTCAGTGCTGTGACCTGTACAAGAGCTAATGGAGAAAGTGTATAACTAACTATTTTACCCCTGACTGCACAACCCCAGGTCATGTCACTTACACACAGAGGAATGCTGGTGTGATCTTGGTGGATGAGTGTGTGCTGTCTGGGTCTGCCTGTTGATCCAGACAGTGTATGCAAGGGGTGTATATCTGTCCATACAGATGGACAGACACACAGGTCACTATGAGTCACCTGACTGTATGGGGCAGGAATGACACACACACAGGGACATTTCGGTTAAGGACTTTAAAGGGCAAACCTAAACTGCCTCAAATGGCAGGCTGTTAGTGGTGGCACAACAACAAATGCTTTCAAACACTCCCACACATTTCTAAGGTGGCTCACTCATTTGTGTACAAACACAAGGTTAACAAAAGATTTGGGTTCAAGCATCACACCCATGATTTGAAATGAGCTGTAATCACCAGCTGTACTTTAATCAACAAATTTAATTTAAAACTAAGTCAATGCTACAATACTTTGACCCTTCAAAACCATTCGTAGTCTGATTTTCTTTCCTTTCTAGTGAACGTAAAACATTCAGTGCAACCAGTATAGTCAAACTCGCAATGAACTGGTTATTTTTGTTGAATCAAAAACATATAATGCATAGTTAAATATCAAACAATTAACCCTTTTTTTGTTGTTGTTGACTCAAAGACATTTACAGCAACCAGAGTAATCCAATTCATGAAGACATGACTCTCTTGAACCAGTTCTTTTTGTTGAATTAAATATTTTTCATCCAACCCAGTGATGTCCAATTCATTAAGAAATTATTCTTATGAATCGGTGGTTCTTGTTGAATAAAAAAAAAATTCAGTGTCACCAGTTAAGTCCAATTCATAAACAAAGGACTTTTATGAACTGGTTCTTTTTGCTGAATCAAAAACCTTCTGCACAACCAGTGCAGTCTAATTCAAGAAAAATTTATGTTTTCTCTTTTTGAGTTAGTCCTTTTAATTAACCATTCAAAACTCATTTGAATAGTTTAGACATAACTAAAATAAAGAGCTGGCGAATCAAATTGAAATGTGTATTGATACCCAACCCTAGGGAGTAAATATTATAATTTTACATGTTTTAGGTAAACTATATCTTTAAAGGGGTCATATGATGCAATTTCAATTTTTCCTTTCTCTTTGAAGTGTTACAAGCTCTTGGTGTATAAAGAAGATCTGTAAAGTTGCAAAGACTAAAGTCTCAAATCAAAAGAGATATTCTTTATAAAAGTTAAGTCAACCACGCCTACCTAAAACAGCTCGTTCTAACACGCCCCCACGTCTACGTCACGATGTGGGAAGATTTGCATAACACTGCCCAAATGTTCACGCAAAGAAAGAAGGCGTAACTTTTATTCTTGCTGTAGTATTGTTGTTGCCGCCCCCGCCATGTCGTGGAGACGCTGTGTGTTTCATGTGAAAGCGAAACTACTTTGTTTGGCCTTCCAAAAGAGGACGATATCGCTTCGTCATGCCTGGAACGCAACGCAAGGTGCAAGGTGCAAGGCAACGCGTAAAAAGACAGTATAAGTTATTATAATCACTAATTATGTCCCCACTGGATGCAACAAATGCCTCATTTATAATGGGTTTTAATGTTTTTGTCTCGTCGCTCCGGCCGGGACTCGGCATCACAGTATGGTAGGGGCGTAACATTTCCATCACACGCTTGAGGTATTCGGCCAATCACAACGTACTGGATAGCTGGCCAATCACAGCACACCTCGCTTTTCAGACCGATGAGCTTTGTAAAAATCGTTTCAGAAAGGCGGGGCATAGAGGAGAAACAATAATGTACAGTATGTGGAAAATAATGTGTTTTTTGAACCTTAAACCGCATAAACACATTTCATTACACAAAATACACAAAATTATGTTCTTTTTAGCAACATCATATGACCCCTTTAACTTCTACCACATAAACTGTTTTTCAGTGAACAGAAAATTAATGGAAAATGTGTTGCTTTACTTTCCAGTTAAGGGCCAAATGTGTGAACTACATAAAACGCAAAATATCTCCTCTGCGTTTCCTCTGGCACCTCACTAACCCCGGCTCCCTGTTTGTGTCCGTTCACATCATATTTCCTTCACAGCCAAACAGATTACAGCCATTAATTGCCACGAGGAGCAAACCGTCAAGACACTTCCAGCAGAAATCCATCAACGTGTCAGAGTTATTCAAGCGCTCTGACTGAGGGAAGCAGAAATTTCACAGCCTAATGGATCTAATGGAACAGATACAAATCGAAAATAACGTTTTTAACGGAACTTATTACCCGAGCCGGGAAACTGGCCTAATAGCAGATGGAGACTGAACAAATTACCTCGAGTCTAGTAGAAATATTTTCACACTGAGACAATGGCAAGGAATATGACAATTATGACATGGCATAAATATTTTCTGTTGCTTTTCGTGATTGATAATTATTCAAAGCATCTCACGCAGGGGTGAGAACTGAAAAGAGAATGCTGGGACGAGGCATGAAATGTCATGACTTATCAAATCATCGAGTCAATGTGCCTCAGGGGGACAGTAACCTGTGTTTGCTGTCTGAATATTTCCCACCAAACCACAGACACGAACATTAACACACACAGGTGAAGAAAGATGACTAATTAGCTCAACTCAAAGAAGTGTGGACAGACCTGTCATGACATGTAACAAAACATTAATAATTAGTGTTTTTAATTAGGCAGGAAGTTAATCTCCTCTTGAAAGTTGCCACAGAGCATAGAGATCCACTATTTGGAATAACCTTTCACTTAAAACCGTTTTCAATTCATTTGAACAGATGGACACATCTTGTTTGAGCTCTTTGTAAGTGCATTTGTTTGCAGACCTAGCATTGATTTTAAACAATCTCATACTGCATGCAGACATGACACACCAAAATCGCATCCTGCCAGCATTGTGTCGACTTCACAAGCACAGGCCACCGCAAGCTTACATTACACAATTGTGCTTTTTCTTCCATGGCTTGTCTGAAACCCAGACAAACACACAGACGCAGGCGGAGTGTCTATTCTTACCCCTGTGTGATGGGCCGACTCGTATGAGTCAGACAATGAGTGGTCATCTGCCCCAACATGCCCCTTTTTGTGGCCTAAAAATATGACTTTGAATCTGCCTAATAAAAAGCCTCTCTGTGCTAATCAGTGACTGGTGTAGTGAATTACAAGTAGCGTGCGTTGCATAATTTTTGGAAGAACTGAGTTTATATTGTCACGATACAATGTGGAATTGATTTTTCCACAAAGGATACATGCAGTGCTATCTTAGAATTTGGCCAAACAAAGCATCTTAGGGGGCAGAATAATTAAGTTGCCTATTTTTGTTTCAGAAATGAGACCTTAAAATGCTGCCTATGAAGAGAGCTCATCTTTGATCTCACCTCATCTTTGATGTCTTCTTGCTGCTGTGCTGTGAAGATCTCCATGGCTCCCATGAGTCTCATCATAAGCTCATCCACTGTTGTGTTGCCTTCATCACACAAACAGAAAAACAACAACAATCAAACTGTAGCAGACTTATCTAATTTTGCAGTTCTTCATACTTTGAGATGCATGCAAAATGTTCCAAATGGAAAATAATTGCATACGGCATGACATGAGACACGTTGATCTACAATTTAATTTGTATTTTACTGATTTTTTATTTGAAAAATAAAATCTGAATTACTATGAATTATTAATATGAACGCAAATCGATGTGAAAAAGAAATTCAGTAGACATTTATTAATTTGTTTAAAGATTAAATAATTAAATGATTTATGTTTTTATTAACAATTTCATTATGTATATAACAATTTATTTAAATATATTTTGAATAATTTGGCCCTCCAGAGACTAAATTGAGCCTAATGTAAACCTAAAAGTTTTATAATTTTGAAATAAATAAGAAACATTAAGATGTAAAATAAATAATAAATGCATTTCTTGATCACTAATGAGTAGGGATGTAACGATTCACTCAACTCACGATTCGATTCACGATTTTGATTTGAAACAAGTACATCTGTGACAGGTTTTACACAAATTTGTGGAGTTCAAGGCCACTCAAGCTGCTGCTATTATTAAACCAAAGATTGTCTGAAATTCTGAAAGGTAATCTTTCAATTCTACCTCAAATAGTTATGTTGACAGTATTATTTTTTTCTATCCATCCATCCATATATGGTCTCAGATTTTCTGGTAGTAGTAAAGTAAGTTTAATTAATTGATGAAGTGTTATCTATAATTTTATTTGTAGTTCATTTAGATGTATATTTTACCTTGAATGACATTTAAAACTTCATTTGATGTCCGTTTGCCCATGACAATTAAAAGTAATGGGAACTGGTCAGTCTTGTACGTCCGAATGGTCTGTGCAACAACACTGCCAAAGTGCCTTGTACACATCGTGAGTAGTCTAGAAAGAGAGTGAGAGAAAAGAGAGAGAGCCAGTAATTTAAGTGGACAGTGGACAGCCAGCGAAACTCCCCTGAACAATCACTGAGCTTAATAAGAGTACACAGCTCATCATATTAACAGACTTTAAAACCAATTCTGCTCTCCGCTCAGAAGATGGTCCTTCTCCAAACACTCCCCCGGTCTGAATTAGTATTCAGCTCCCGCCGCACCGAATTTGATAGGGCAGAGAGGATTTCTTATTCCATTACAAAGACAGAACTTTAAATTAACGTTTCACTGAAGGAAAAGGGTAGCAGGCAGACTCGGAGAGCTCGCAGTAAATGTCATAATATTAATGAATTGCTATAGAGCGAATGCAAATATAGATTAGCTTCTCTCTGCTTTTAATAACATCGGCTTTAATAACTGGAAAGTAAAATAGAGGAGAGATGGAACACACTAGAGTGAGGGGCCAAGACCAGCATGGGAGGGAAGAAAAGAAAAATTGAGGATTTTTTCACACCAAATTTCACCCTATTATCAGAGAGAGAACTATAAAAAAGTTGCATCAGAGGAGATGAGTGAGCACTTCTTGGACTCTGGGTATATTCAGATAGGCATACTACCTATAATTGATGAAATAGTATGTAGTACGTATACTTTGTGCAGTAGTTATTCAGAATACACTACATGGAATAATGTATTTCTAATTAAATGCACTCCACCAGATAATAATGCACTCATCCTTGACTCTTTTAATTACTTGCAATTACTAGAGTTAGTTAAGTTAAAGTTGAGACGCAACATGGTTATTTAGCATTTTTATACAAACAATGTTGTGACAATGTAGCGTACTGCAAATGAATATTCCCTATATTTCATATACCATTAGAAAACAAGGAAGTGAAGTGAAAACGAGTGAAAATAAGAATGACAAGAGTGAAAAAATTAAATTAAGTTAGCGTACTACATATTTAACTAACAAGACAACAGGCGATCTATCTTCTGTGTAACTTGTACAGATGACTAGATTCCACAGAGCTGCCAAAAGAAATTAAACATCATACAAATAACACTTGTTTCCAGAGGTCCCATCAGGCATTGCATTTGGCAGTTCATTGTCACATCAGTGATGCGTAAAGGAATCTTGAAGAATGTTAAGAGTTCTCAAAGGACCTCAGGGGAGTTATTTTTGATTTTCTAGTTAGTAACACCAGGTGTTTTAAGCATCTCATCAAGGACAGCTTCGTAATTGGAGTGACACGCTCTCGTCTCTTTCTCAACCCTAGCTCTTGAGTGTGTGAACCGTAATATTTCCCCATCGCCTGAACCAACAGAGGTGTGGCACAGTATCAGACCATCTACTGGGGCCACAGGGCCTCAGTTTCTCAGTTTCCCTGAGAAAACAGTGTCTCGATCACAATTATCATGATACTTAAACTATGCACTGATTTTCAATGACACAGTTGCACAGCAACAACAAACAACAGAATTCCAAGAATTTTCCTGGAGTTTTTAAATACTTCTGTTGATTTACATCATATTAAAACTAGATTTTTTTTTTTTATACACTGTCTTCAGTCTAAGTCTACCTGATTTTTTCGCTTTTATCATCCACAAGCAAAATTCTCCAATAGCCCACCTGTCCTCAAAAAGTCACACGATTTGAGGTATCATTTATACCTGTTGCAAAACAGGAAAAGACATTTTATACTTTGGATAAGGGATTTTGTTATTAAGTATATTGCTGGAAAAATAGCCTTGTGCACATCTCTTCAACATCTCCAGTTTGAGTACTGGCTAGTGTTTCTTTCCTCATCCCTCTTCTCCTATCATATCCTGCCTCTTCTCAACTGTTCTTTAAACAAAGGCAAAAAAAAAAAAAAAAAGGATGATCAATTGTAGCAATAATGCTTTAAATATTATCTTATGGCTATAATGATCTATAATGATTCAGTTTGATTCAGTACACAATTAAATTTGATTTAACAACAATTCAACTTAGTATTTTAAAAAATGCATTTACATTATTCTTTACATTATACTTCCCCCAATGTATCTCACAGATCAGAAAAAGGAAAAGAAAAAGATAAACTTTCTTCTGACTTTTTGCTGCAGGACAAGAAACTGCTGTGGCTGTTGGAAAAAAAATAAAGTATTAAATGGCAATTATTTAGATTTTTAGCATTGTCAATAAATCAGCTATATGAATCATCAGGATTTAGGCCCCATCCACACGGAGACGCATTTAGCTGTATACGCATACATTTTGTATCGTATAGGCGTTTCGTCCAGATGGATCCGGCGTTTTGGGAGAGTGAAACCGCTATTTTTTGAAACCGGGTCCCAGAGTGGATAAATCTGAAAAAGCCGCCCTTGCGTTTTCATGTGGACAGCGAATCCGTATATTTTCTGAAACGATGACGTCATCAACCCACGTCTAGCCCCTAGTCAGACACCGCTACGTCACGTAACAGCAACAAAAACATGAACAAACACTGAACGATTGTCTTTTTATTAACTAACATTAACACAGATTAATAAATGTATTGTTCCATGTTCGTTTGTATACCGCATGCAAGGTTTATGCGCATAGTCCAAGTCGTCTTCTCCCTTTTTTAGTGTATCTCTGTGGCAGAATTACAGCGCCACATGCTGGTCTGGCATGTATACTACATCGTTTTGTGTCGGTTTCGTGGTTTTGTGTGGACGCAGATATTTCTTGAGAGAAGGGGGAAAAAAAGATCGGATAGGGAAAGCTCTGGCTTCATGTGGACGTAGCCTAAATGGATTGAAGAAACTTTGTATCTGCTAGAATACAGTCAAATTGTGACCTGCAGCTTTTTCTTACTTATACCAGTAACAAAGAGCACTTGTAGCACCTGTGTGTGCTAATTACATTCACTCTAATTACATTTGGGCTCTGGATTAATGCACAATTATGCTGAAAGTCTATGTGATCGGTGTCAGAGATTAGCGATTCACAGGCTTCATTCACAGAGTTAGCTTTGAAAAACACTGCCAGTCACCATCCACAATCACCAATCAGTCAGGCCTGGCTCGGGAGCGTGAGAATGAGGTGTGTATGTGTGTATGAGTATGTCAGTGTATAAGGATGTGGGATTGTGTGTGTCTCTCTCTGTTCGCATTATGAATAGCCCCAGATGTTGTCCGCCTTTAATCTGTGGTAGAAAGGCTCAGCTGGGGCAAAAAGCAGAAGGGGAGGGAGAAGGGTATAGAGGCAAGGCTGGACTGAAGGAGCCCCTGCAGAAGCAGGTCACTAGCTGGTCTTTCTCTCCCCGTCCACTCCGGAGGGAGGCCTTTAGGGTGAAGCCTACTGGAAGGAAAAGTAGAGGCCTGCTCAGAAGCAAAGCCTGCTGGGACCAATGAAGAATCCATCTGCTGCCTGACCAGCTTCGCCCTTTTTCTCTCTCTGTTCGTTTCCTTTTCTGGCCTTACATTTTTATTTTGCATGCTCCGTTTCTACCTGAAGCAATCTGGGATCTTCGTACAGTTTACTCAACACCTCGAAAACAAAGCACATTTGAAACAGGGAAGAATTATTTATTTTTGCAATCTTAATACTGTTTTGGGCATAAGTTTCTATTACTTCCGAGGACCAAAAGTTGCATTTGACCAAAGAAAAAGCACAAAACCACCATAAATGCCATCTTGAAATGAAACCATTGAGTACATCTTTGCACGGGTTGAATCAAAGTACATTTGAAACAGAGCAGAACTTTGTTTTTGCAACCTTAATGCTATTTTAGGTGCATGTTTCTCTTGCTTCTGAGGGCCAAAAGTTGCATTTGCCCAGCGACAAAATGTAAAACCTCTGTAATTGGCATCCTGAAATTAAGACATTCTGAGGAGTGTGCTCTATGATGGCTGTGTGTCTAACTGACCCTTTAGCGGGGCAGATTAGTGCAGATTGCCCTACCGGGGCCTCAGTGAGCAAACACGACATCTTTTGTTAAAGCCCTCTATGAGGAGAGAGTCAGAAAAGGAGAGGGGGGAAGGGAGGAATACCTCTCATTAAGAGATCATCCATTTTGAGTGTGAAAATGCTTCCGATCCCCACCGTTCTGGATGGTTTGACTGCCATTGTGAGTGCATGCAATGAGAGAGATGAAAGGAAGGAACATGCTAAACAGTGTTACCTGGCTTTATTAGCTTCTTTAGTAACGTCCCAGGCCCATGTGATGAAGTTCTGGCTGAGATATGACACTATGGAGTCTGCGCACATCATCTGAGAGCAGAACACGTTACTGAGGACACTCTCGTCATTGTGGAGGTAGATGGCCAGCAGTTTTCTCTGAATGACAGAAGCACAACATATACAAACAGTTATACGGATCATATGAATTGAGATTATGGATATGATTAAAATTCATCTTGATGCTTGTGGTTCCTTAACAATTCATTTCATATTGATGTTTTAGTGATTTGAAAAGAAAATTTGGAAAACAGAAAAGCAACTGCTGCCCACAAGAGTCTGTAGCCAAATGAAGAAATCATTTCAGAATAAATGAAAAAAACAAATCAAACGAAATTTAAAAAAACAGTTCCAAATAGGTGCTAATGGCCACACAAGTTATTCCATCCCCAACATCTAATCAGCAGAACAAAACATGAAAATAAAATAATATAAAAATGTTGTTTTAAAACAGAAATACAATAAAACAGAAATATTACAATATTCTATAATATAATATAATATAAATTAATATAATATAATATAATATATAATTTATATAATATAATATAAAAACATTTAAATATTTTAAAATGATATAGATATATTTGTGTTATAGATGTGTAGCTGGTGTAAGTGGTATTTATGTAAAACTACACTTGTGGTCAAAAATGTACATCTTGCAGAATTTGCAAAATGTTAATAATTTTATCAAAATAATATAGATGTATGTAAACTTTTGAGCAACAACTGTATATAGTTTTTTTTTTTTTTTGACCACAACGATATAAAAATTGTATATACACGCACACGCACGCACGCACGCACACACACACACACACTAAATAGTTCAATTCACATCAGGGGAAGAACACACATTTGACAAAAACATTTCCAAACCATTCAAATATCTGCACTGAATAAAGAGAGACATTCACCCATTTACAAACTAATACCCACACAAGTTATTCCATTCCCACATCCAATTTTCAGAAAAAAAATGCATGAAAACTGAAGCCTCAATGGCCAATTCACTACCTATGAAGCCAGAACCCATCTAATCCCGGCTCACTGATCCACCCTTATTTCATGATTCACCATCAGGCTTTCTGAGAGCTTTAAGGCCACTAATGCTTCAACTAGGGTCCACGAGTAGAAAAAGACAGCAAGTGCCCTCCCCGCAAGCCCTGAGCAAAGAAAACATCCAAACCAAATCAAACTGATGCAGGCTAAATCAAACTTTCTCTGAAAAACAAAAACCAAACAAATCGCTTTATTTGTTTTGCATCAAATGCCAGTGCCCTCCTTCCATCATCGCAGGTTAGCACAGGAAGGCACCGCTGATGTCGTCGCACATCCAAATCCACAGATATTTACGTCGTCAGATGGACGGCGCTCGCTCGCATAACCCAGCAACTAATTTTTTTTAAACGGACACCGCCACAAACATGAAAAGTTTCGCCAGACAAGGCAAGGGAATAAAACCCACCGAATTACAGAACAACTCTGAACGTTTCCTACAGCTCTGACCCGACGGTTCGTCGAATACAGCAGGAGGGATTTCTTAACAGTCCGACGGCGGAAAAACAGAAAGCAAAGCGGGGAGGACAGTGAAGGAGGGCATCAACGGAGGAGAGAAAGTTGGGCTCTATGGAAGTGTGTATGGAGGGAGCGCTGCTGTGTTTGCACAGTGATTGAAGCTCTCGAATGAGCCACACGGCCCCTGGCGGGAGAGATCTCAGGCCTCTTTCACGAGCCCAATTCAAGGCCCTGAAAAGATTAAACACTCATGCTGGGTAGACAAGCAAATAGGACCTGGAGAGAGGGCGAGATTTTACTCGTCAAAAACTAGAAGGGGGGTGGATGAAAACGAGACATGCACTTTTCCACTCCTCTCTTGTAGTCTGTCCTAAAAATGACATGGCTGTTTCTGCACTGACTGAACGTATTCACTGCGAGCTGCGAAAACGTTTTGACCTTTTGAGGCCTCTAAGATTTCACTGAAGAGGTGGGGAGAAGCTATTCTCGCTAATAACAGTCTTTGGTCAGCTCCCTCGTTTCACGCCCCCCCATTACCCACAGTCACTCCTCTCTACTTTCATCCCATTGTTTTCTCCTCCTTTCTTTTCCTCATTTATGTGGGGCTTTTCTTAGCCTGCAGAAATCAGTGCTCAGTCCAAATTACTGGGTCTGTTCTGGGGAAGAAACTGACCCAAAAGCTCTTTCTGTCACCTTGAGCTGTCCCCCACCTGCTCGGGACGAGAATCCTGAAATGGTGAGGAGGAAAGGGTAGAGACGCGAGAGGAACATGGGAGGAGAGGACAGAGAGGGAGGTGGGTAGAAGGAGAGAGAAAGCTGATCTGTCCTGTGAGTGGGACAGTACTAGCTTTCACACAGTTGTCTGAAAGTGAGGAATTCCCAGGCTAACTTTGGACATGTGAGTCAGTGTGGCAGCAGCACGACTACAAAGCATGTTTATCTGCTAAATGACGGCTTATTCACACCAAGCATCATGGCTGTTTGGCATGAAAAACATGAATGAAACAATGTGCCACTTTGTAGTCCTTTAAACAAATCAGTCATTATTTATTCAGATACAAGTCATTAAAAAAATATCATTCAGATATTGAAATATGGAGGATGATGAAAATTGAATGCAAAAAGACGTATTTTTCAAATTTTGTGTTATTTAGTTGCGTTAAACTTGATGTGAACAGGCCTTGCGATTGAATTTACCTTATCAAGGACATGCTAACCACCTTGAACGGAGCATTTGCAATTAGTGAAAGTGTCTTTCAAATGTACAAATAACGGTTTGAAATGTAGTATTCCACCGTGCACTAACCAGGCAATGTTTCCAGCATTAATGTGACTATAAAAACTGAAGCAAAATGCTATGAAGAACAAATCAAAGCCAAGCAAGACACATTTAAACATTTAAAGTCAGCATGAAATGAATATTTTCTAAATTAAACTTATTGATCTTTTTGTGAATGATTCATCAAAGCATGTTTCATTTTTAGAGTTCGCAATTTTTGAATCAAAATGTTATAACTTGATCTTCCAGTTAAAAGACAGTCTTCGCCAGCCATTAAATCTTTTTATACAATCAGTTGCAAGCTTGCATTTAGATCTGCCTCCATTCAATCAACAACCAAAGAACAGAACCAAGTCACTCATCCTACATTTCGTCTTTTTTAATAATCTACTTCACTTGGATGTACATCACAATGCAGTCTGCTACTACTTCCATTACATTGTGATTTTATTAATGCGCTATCAATAGAGATTTTGAACCAATGAGATTTCACTATGGATGGAGATACCAGTGTAACACTGCAGAAACAGAAATAAAGCATGTGGCAAAATATCCTGCTAATGACGTCACGTTATTTCTCATGATGTAAGAAACAGCTAGTTTTTATCTAATGCTATTTACAGGGGCCGGCTGCATAAAAGGTTTAGACTAGTCTTACAAGTTAGTCATCTAATTTTTTTTCTTTAAGAGTGGTCATATTTTTTTAAATTCAGTTAAATAAAAGCATAGATTAGTCTAAGTTGAATCCAAAAATAAGACTGATTACCCTTTGGTGAACTGCTAGTTGGTCAAACTCATACTTAAGGCACTGTCTTAACATAAGTTTATGCAACTGGCCCCAGCAGGACTCCTGGAGTCTGTTCACACTTCTACTGACTGAAAAAAATCTTGATTTTTTCAAATTATCGCAAGACATTCTGTTGATGGCTCCACCTGCTTGACTGTGAGAGTAACGCTAGTTATACAGACAATCATCTTGTAAAAGTATTGTGAAAGGATGTTTTTAATTACAGGCAATGTGTATGTGCTGGAGGGGGGAGAGACGGTGAAAGTGATCATCCTCTTTTGCCTGTAGGAAAGCAAACAATGGGAAATGAGGAGTTCATATTACTGCTCTCTCTTGACCTGTAGCAGACTGCTTTAACAGTTGGCACTTACAATACTATAAGAGATTCTCCAACAAAAACTGAACAATAATCTAGTAATAATAATAATCTTGTTGCATAATTAGAGTTTAGCTTTAAGAGCTGCCTTGTATATGTAATACAATTCTTAAAGGGCCAGTCCACCCAGAAATGAAAATTCTGTCATTATTTAGTCACACATGTCACTTCAAAACCCAAATGACTTTCTTTCTTCCAGAGGACAAAAAAAAAGATCATTTTTTAAATAAATGTTTTTTCTTAAGTTTTGAAAAGGATGCAAAAGCACCATAAAAGTATCATAAAAGTGGTTCACACGACTGTGTGCTGTGAAACATTAGGATCATTTGCCTCACAAGAACTCACGCTCATGAATCAGACATTGTTACTTCTCCTGTGGATGTGCACGACTGACACATCAATAAATTATTTTGATCAGTGTATATAGACAAGAGTCAATTTTCATCAGTCCTCCTGTTAGAACAGCACTGTCAATAACAAGTCTTTCGGGTGTCAGAAAACTCACCTCTCTGTATCTCTTTTCTCACAGACTGAAAAATCACTTCGTCACGGAGGCTCTTCTATGAAACTCATACATGAAAAACCCATGAAGGGCGCGAAGGAGCTATGAATTTTGATGGCCGTCTTTGTGCGGGTGGCAGAGGAGGGTTAGCGTGATTAGCTGGATGTTAAGGGGATTTGTGATGAGGCCTGTGTGCTGATGGGTGGCCTGACTCAAGAGTCTTCCTCTGATCCTCCGGGGAACTCCAGGGCCTCTAGCATTTTCATTAAGGATGGATTGGGAGCATCTCCCACTCCAGAAACACTTCATCACATGTAGTGTTTTACTTAGTGATTAGCCTCTCAGGCCTATGAGAGAGGGGCACAAGTGCCCTCAGAAAAATCCATCCCACACATGCACATGTGCAAATGAAATGTACACAGCCGTGGCTAAAAAACCTACACGTAACGAGAAGACCGGCTGACTGAAAGGTGGTGAGCACAGTGGCTCGAGCAATGGCCTGAGCAGTTTGAAATGGGTTTCTTGAATGCTTCCCTTTGAGAATCCTATTTTACTGGTCTTTGTTTTTGCAGTTCAATATGGTGATGTTGGTGTGCAGAAATTTCATCAGTGTTTCCCATTACCTGCCTAGACTTTAGATTAACTGCCTGCAACAATCTAATCTGTCCTGCCACAGTTATGTATTGAAAATGAAAATATTTTGTACACTTTGGATAATAAAAACACATTTTGACTATTGCTTTGACAATGAATCTGTCAATGAAACCAAAATAAAAAGAAGTTATTTAATTAAATATATAGTCTGCTGCACAGCACGTTTGAAAGAGTAGCTCGTGATCTGATGTTTTTACTTCACAGTGCATGTGCTGTGAGTTTAACATGCATTTGGGAATGCAACGGGCACCAGTTATGCATTACTTTCACATTTGCATAATTTCCAACATATTTGTGGTCATATGATTAAAGCATTTCACAAGATTTCTTAATAGAGGTGTTGTAAACCTATGTTCACTGAAACTGCAATTTTCCACCAAAATAAAAGCCTACAAGTGAAGATATTAAGACAAAATAAAAAATATATACTTTTTATGAAATTCAAATGAAATGTATTGCTCATTTACATTTATTTTACAGTGCAGTTTTATTACAATAGTAATATATTACTGTCTTATGGATAATAATAACAAAAGTATTATTATTATTATTATTATATTCTAATTGTTTGGCTTCCACTTCCACAGTTTTTTGTTCTGTTTAATTTGGACACTAAAAATGAGTTGGAGCTCTTAATTTTAATCTCTCAAAGTGCACCAGATTGAGGCACTTAACTTCAAATTGAACAAAAATGTTCATCTGGGGGTGGCTTCCCCTAGGTCCATCTCCCATATTCTCACAATCCTCACAATCAAACACGTTACGTCACAATTAACTAATACCACAATGTAGTGTTTATCGTAAAATACGCTAAAAATATTTCATTTGGATGCAAGTCATTTGGGACTTTGCTGTACCGGAACAACATTCCAGTTCACGCTGATCCCTTTTTAGAATTTTCTATTCATCTTTCATCAGTTTTACTCAAAAGTACTTTTTAATGACGTATACCTTAAATATGTCCTGTTAAATCCTTCCTAAAGATAAATCCTCTGGCTGAAGCCCAAAAGGAGAACAACTGCGAATGGCAGACTAGAGAAGCGCACATTGATAAAAGAGTGAAAATGTATGACCCGTGAAGAAAAACACTGACTGTCTGCAAGAGAGGAACACAGAAGGTCATCTCTTCTTCTTACATTAGTTTGTTTTTACTGACACACTGAACTGTCTCCTCGGGGGAGAGCGGCGGCCATATTGCGCCTGTGCTGAGGAGAGGAGGAGATCAGCTGGGCTGCAGGCAGGAAGCCATTCCAGCCCGCTCCTCATCCTCAAAAACCCCCTGAACATCTTGCTGCATCCTCCCAGTCTAATAAGACCGTAATCCACACAAGCTGTCAGTTGATACAAGCCTCCTTATGAGGACACAGCGGGAAAACCAGCGCAAAGCTGTTCTAAATAAAGCTTCAGCTGTTCAGATGGGAAACGGAAATTTGATGGGGATTTATCATGATGGGGGGGCAGTTCTGCCAATCAAACGTTTAGCGTTGTTTATATACCTGAGCATATGACTTTCAAAAGAAATGTTAGAGACGTGACCTGGTAGTGCATATGCTTATATGTGGGCAACGTAGGTTTCTGGAATCTTGCTCTGGTCATTTCCTGATCCCACCACCCACTGTTTTCCCAATCATTTCCAGTACCACCTCCGACTGTCACCATTAATAATATTAAAATAAAATAAAATAAATCACATAATAAAAAAGTAAATTATTTCATTAAAAAATACATTTAAATAAAATCATGATATAAATTACACATTTATTAATTGGTAAATTATGGAGTTTATACTCACATCTCTGGCTTTGCCGTAGAAGGCCTCTTGAGATGCTGCTTCCAAGGAGCCGATGTAGAACACAGGATGGCAATCGCCATATCTACAAAACATACATGCACAAACTGAGCAAATATCACACACAAATAAGCAAATACCAAATATCAGAGCAGCTATTTTCAAACATTAAAAACATATTATTCAAAACCAGCAGTGCTGAAAAAAATGTGCACAAGACACTGCATACTGAGCTACAAAGAAATGCAGTTTATGTTTGGTTTTCTTTAGTGAAATTGGATTAGAAATGTTACTTTGTCCAGGGATCTCACCTTCTAGAAAATTCAGCAGTAAAGTGCAGTAAGGCATCACCCTCATTTTCACTGTTCTCTGGCACTGAGGGAAGATGAAGGAATATATCAATACAGATAATCCAGTAAACACCATTCCTTCATGGTCAACCCCAGATGAAATGACACAGTATAACTTACTCATCGGAGACTTTCGACAACTTGAGCTTCCCTCCCACAGAGGTCTATTCTCTCGACTTTTACCTGACATTACCAACTACACACTATAATCACAGTCTGTTTTTACATATTCATTTTCAATACCTAAATGACCACAGCGGTCTATACTTTATACCAACAGTAATGATAAACATTTTTCAGCTCTTAGCCTGTCTTAAACCTGTCTAAATATTGGTTCTTCAATGGTAGATCTACTGATAAATTGCATCATTAGGTGGAACTCAAAACAAATTGCACGTCACGTCTTGGTATTGTTTAACAGACATAACAGATAAAGTGTAAAGAAGCTTTGGTTTAAGCACCATAATATCCCATAATGCAACTCCAAGAGGATTTCAGAGTGTCAAGTACTTCAACAGGGCGCTAACTCCCCCAAAACACACAAACACACAAGACACTCTTTCTTTGTGATGGCCCACACAGAGAGAAGAATCACAGTGTTTCTCTTCTACAAGGACTAATTAAAGACAGACTGTCTGTACAGAGAGACAATGTACAGTACTGTTGGGTGACACAAACAAATGCACTGTCCAAACATCAGACATGTTCTTTTTGCAGGAGGATCAGAGTGTTGGAGGCCAGAGAAAATGTAAAAATCATCGGGAAGAGAGGGTAAACTGTGCCACTACTGAAGGTGCCTGCACAGTCATAATTACATTTTCCATAACTCTTTATCTGACCTAAAATATTGTAATATTAAAGACTTCTATATGTAAATGACCTTTGTTATGCAAACCTCCACATACCAGGTAGGATCACTGGGTTGGTAAAGTTGTCTAATCCTGAATAGATGTTGATATCCAAGTGGTTAGTTTGGAATATTTAAGGAAAGTTCACCCAAAAATGAAATTTCTGTCATCATTTACTCAAGCTCATGTTGTTTTAAACCTATGACATTTTCATAGTCTCTGAATTCAAAACAACCCTGATCTCGAATGACTTTTTATTAAACAAAAAAAAAAAACATCTATACAAAATAAAGTACGTCAAAGGTTTTTAATTACATTAAATAAGCATGAATTTTCATGTTTAGGTGAATTATCCCTTTAATGTGCTCATAATGATATATTTTTTTCAGTTTCGTTCTCATAAATAGTCAGGAATGTAAATATTACAGTACTACATGGTAAATAAACGTTATCTAACAAGGTAAATCCTGTTTTCCATGATTTAACACGTGAAGCAGGGTAGAATTAGGGCAGTTAAAGTCACAGGTAAGTGGTGAAACTTCCATGTTCTGACCCCATTGCCTAATGGTATGAGTGTGTCTGAGTGCTTAAATGTGTGCGTGTTCAGAGCCGCAGGCTACAGGGGAGAGGTCACCCCCTCATCTTTCCACACCTCCCTCTCCAACTCCAAACAAAGAACAAAATCCTCCTCTTTTGGACCCCTTTCATTAACACTTGCATTAAAGCCCCTAGCACCGAGCACCATGCAAAAGAAGAATTCCATTTCTTTTTCTCTGTTCTATCTTAGAGGACTTCTCCATCTACTATCAACTAAACATATTTCTTTGGCCAACTTTTACTTCTCCTCTTGGTTGTTTTCATCTATTTGTTGTCATTCTCTATCGCTCAGGCTGTGAAGGAGATAATTACTGCTGACAGCTGCTCTAGTCGTCCGAAAGCCCCAAGCTGCACCTTGTGTCTGCCTTCTTTGATAGATGAGGACAAGAGAGCTACAAAGAGCGGAAAAAGCGAGAGAGTGTGGAGACCAGAAAAGAAAAGCCCCACCCTAAACACCTGTTGGACCCTTTCAGGTTGGGGTTTGAAGAGGTGTCAGTCTTGATTAAGATCTAGGGTCAAATACAGTGTTTAAAATGTCCAGTGAACCTTTCAGAACTAAGCCCTTCGAGAAAAAAAAAGTGTGAATAGGCTAGGCGATGTTTTGTTTTCACCTGTTTAAGGTGTAATCTGTAACTGCTACGATTTTCCGGATGCCGGATGGCAGACAACAGCAAATGCATCTTACAATAATAAAATGTTATAATTCTGTAATGCAAAACTCAGTGACAAAATAGTGATACTTTAACACAAAATATTATTTGAAATACTTCATCTAAAAAAATAGTAACTGACATGTCCAAACTTTAATAAAAAAAATAAAAATAAATCAAAGCTGGTGATAAATTTATATGCATTAGGTTTACATTTATTTATTTATTATTTTGTATTTACTTACATAAATGTGTGTGCATATACGTACGTACATACACTTTTATATATATAACTTTAAAATAATAAAAATAATAATTACAAAATTAATTAAAAACATTTAAAAAATGAATGTTTATTTACAGTTTTCTAAATTAAAATAGTTTCCAAATCATGCAGTGTGAAAAACTGAGAAACGCCTTTACTAAAACAGAGATGAATGAAAAAACACTCCATTTCGAAATCAAACATTACAGATCCATTTCACCTGCATATGACAGATCACCACTACCCACTGCTAAATATGACACCGGCATAGTCAGCAGGGTGTTGATCTAAACATGTAAAGCATGATTTATGTCAGTCGGCCCCAGTAAGGGACAGGGAGTGGACATTCTGAAGACAGAAGATTGGCAATATAAGAGTGTATATACCTCTCTCTCGAAAACTTCACCTGCAGACAGCAATCTCACAAGGGGCTCTGTACGGGCTTAGAGCTGAGCCTCGTTGCTACGGCAACCAGCAGGCCCAATAAGCCGCCTCCGCAGGTCTGTGACGCTGAAAGCCCATAACAGCCGTGGGCCACGGAGACCCTCAGAGAGCAGCAGCAGTAATACATTAGCAAACACCAAGAAACACTGGATAAATGTCAGCAATTAAGGGGGAAAAGACTCTAATAAGGACGTTCCAGAAGTTGTCAATCATTCCCATAGGTGCTCCAAGAGGTTGGCAGTGAAATATGAAAAGTGCTCAAAAGAGTTTTGGCTCAGGATGCGCGTGTGTGAGAAAGGGAACTCAGAGGTGGGAAATGGACCAATTAGGAGCCTAAATTAAGAGAACAAATAAAATAAACAAGAACTTGAGCTACAATTTGACGCTGGGACATTTTTAATAATAGCGTCAAGGGAACAGTGCACAGTCAATCAATCTTGAACACAATGCATTTTTTTTCAGATTACTATATTTACATAAGCCATGAAATAAATCTTCACTAATAAAACTGGCATTATTTACATAAATCATCGGAAATCTCCAGGACACAGTAGGATTCAACAAAAAAAAGTAGTGCAGCCCAAGTTCAGGCAGAAAAGATATCAAAGTTTGGGCGGTTAATGCCAAACACAGCCTGCAAACAGCAGTCCTCAAGTGGCCTGCCATATGAAGAAGCCTGTGTCAGCCCCTCAAACACACCACACGCATCCCGACTACACCCACTCAAACAAACAAGGGCTAAAACATTATTATGGTAAACAGCCTCCTTTGAATTTACAGACACTGCATAGGGACGTCAAGACAACCACTAAGATCCACCCCCAGATTCAAAAGGCACAAGAAGGTATGCTGATTTTTACATTGTAATCCCTTTCTCCCAGGAGACAAATTTACAATGCTAATCACAAATCCAGTTAAAACAACCGCACTGTTTAAATGTTAACTGGTTAAACAGTTTCACTGCATGAATGGATCAAAATCAAACCATATTTTCTTCATTTGACTCCCTGACAGTAAAACAAAACACAAATACAGAAGATGCACTGAGAGCCAAGTATACGTTCTGACTTCCCTCTGAAACTGATTAATATATTAAGTTCAATCCATTTCAACATTACAAGAAAAAAAAAAACTAAACAAACAAACCTGTCACTAGCTCCTTCAAAACCAATATGCTTAAAAGCTCAGTTGGCGAAATGTAAACTGACTACTGATCAGTTTTCCATTTTTCACCCTTATGAGTTGGAACGGAGCACAGAGAGACTCGCTGTATATGAGCAAGCCACGGGTAATGAAAGCACAGCGGAGTAGGCATTGACTCAGATTGCTGGTAAATGTATTTCTAAGCCTGGGCTGTCATGTTTATTGGTACAAATCCCGGGAGATGAGGGAAGGTTAATGAGATACGCGCAAAAAATGGCCTGCCTGCCATGCGAGAGCTTTGCGTCTAGTGCATGGCTAGGCATTTCAATAAGGGCCGGGGGCCATTATTAAGACTGGTGCTTTAATAATATGTCCCTCCCTATAAGCCAAGACGAGTTGAGGTGAAAAGCTGGTCTGTGGCCAAGTGCATGACGACCACACATAACCAATCACTGCTTGGGCATTAACGGTTTAATGTGCCTTAAAGAGTATTCATGAGCGGTGCCCTCTTCATAAAAAAAACAACAAGATTGTGGGTTGAGGCCTTCGGTGAGTGCACTTCAGCCCTGAAGTGGCCCGACTCAAGTGGGCAGTCTGTGGTGAGAGGGTGTAATTCAGTGACCTTGTGTCTGTTGTGCTTTTCGCTAAAGGACGAAACGATCTCTCCAACCGCCCTTTTAACAATATGAGCTAAATGCAATGGGTGAAATACATGAGCCTTACAAAAGCACACTGAAAATAAACAATGCTGTCATTGTTAAAGAGCTCTGTGAAACACTGCTCATAAAGCTATTGACAATGGGGTCATAGTCTTTTGTTCTGGTACTCTCAAATACTAAGTAGTCACAGGGTTTTATGTTTTATCTTGTTCTTTTAATAGTGGTAACCAAAACCATCTTAATAGCTTCAGAAAAAAATAAAGCAGTCAGATACATTTTACTCTTTTGACATTTTACTCAAATATGGAAGTTGAGGGGGGGACTTTCAACACCTGAAACATACAGTGCTCACAAAACAGGTTTGTTCATCAGGCCACTCCCTTTGAAATCGTACTTGCCCTAAATTAGGCACCTGACAGCAAATGAAGACACAATGACAAGCACCTAAGAAACACATGGTTAAAAACACAAGGGCAATTTCCATGCTTAACTGGTCAGTTGCACAATGACTAGTGATAAGTAAAGAAAAAGTTCCCATGGTTATTGTACAGATGCTTATCGTGGATGCCTAAGCTGGGAGGTGGGGTTCCTCAGGGTTCGGTGTTAGAGCCCTCTCTGATCACTGTGAACGAGTCGTACTGAAAGGCTGGGCGAGAAAGGTCACTGACCCCCCACTACATGAGCTGTAATGTCCACACAGAGAGGACAAGGGAGAGGAGCTGCTGTGTGACATCTTAATTAGTACCAACATCTTACTTTCACATTGGGTGATACTTAAACCACTACAGAAAAGAAGAAATTATTCTATTCAATTTGTCTAAACTTCTATAAGAAACCTGTTTTCTTACATTCCTAAGGCACAATTTTTTGTCATGTAATTTGTCATTTCACACTGAAAGTAAAAATGCAACAATTATAGCAAAGCAAAACATACTTGAAGTTAGAGTTATGCAGTGCAGGATTTGGGGCCAGTGAGATTTTGCTGTGGGAAGGGATATCAGAGTCTTGACCAAAACCAAGTGACCAACAAGAAGTCTTTCTTTGTCATCGAGGTAGGTAAAATCTCAGTTTAATTTGGCAAAAAAGCTTAATTTTATCATATATCAGTTTAATTTGGCAAAAAAGCTTAATTTTATCACACACATGTATATATATGGAAGCTATATATATAGTTAGTGACACTTCTACTAATCTTAATTTACAACTTATTCTCTATATTATAATTACTAAATCTGGGCAGTTTTTATTTAAACTGGAGCAAAAGGCAGGTGCACAATCGTCACAGGGTAAAAAAAAAAAAAAACTAAAAGAGAGAGTAAAAAACATACCGAGTCATCTGAGGCAGAGGCAGGCCAGCCGTCCCACTGTTGATGCCGCACAGGGATGTTTGTCAGGTCTGAAATGTTCCTTTTCACCTGAGACATAAACATACAAAAATATTAGATAACAGGTACAAGAACACAACACAATCCACAAACACATTCAAGTTTATTTCACAAACACTACCAGACAACACTTTGTTTAGACACTATCAGAAGACGAAGTGTACCTACTATTTTCACTAAGATATAAGTGACTGTGATGGGAGGGAGACAAGGCAAGTAGTGGAAAAGAGCTCCGTGTTCTAAAAAATTCCACAGATGCCTGTCCTAATACCCAATGCCAACAGCCCTTCACTCGAAAAATGGACAGTATTTCCCTTCTGCTATTCACCCCTGTGTAACTGCACTTAATAACATTGCGTGCATTTAAACAGTTGATGCTGGCCCCTGCTCCTATGCCGCTGTTGGTTTAAAGCCCAACGCCAGGCTGATGTGCGGAGGATGGGGGTGATCAAAGCAGGCGTCGCCCAAAGCTGGATGGGCCGCAGATTCTAGTGCATTATCCCCAGAGAATGCACTACCCCGCGGCGCTAGATACAGAGGCAGAGAAAACTAGCCATTGTGGCAGAAAGCCCTCATAGCGCATGGCCAAATCCCACCGCCAGCACACTGAGTGGACATGTATCCTCTGCCAGACTGAGGACTCGTGCCCACAGAGGCAGAAACGATGGCTGCAAGACGCTTGTGAAAACAAAGGACATGAAGCGGGTTGAAAGAGATTTAAGGGTTAAGAATTCATTAACAGATACAATCATGACATTTCTGTTGACAAAATATAACCACTAACAATATGAATATTTATGGATGGAATAATAAAGAGGTTCTTAACCGGAGGGTTGTGACATTACCTGTCAGCTGATTTTATATACTTTTATATTTTTTCAAGACTTCAGAAATTAAAATGATTAATACTCTTATGTGATTAATGCTTATCCTATGTCATGTCAATAATTAAGCATATTGTTGGGCTTTCAGTTCATGATAATAATAATAACTGGATTTAATTACAAAGGCATTTGTTAACTCATGAGCAATTTTGGTCAACTAAAAAAAAATAGGTAGAAACGATTTTCACTCAGAAACTGCTAATACATTTTACAAAATCACAATAAAACAGCAAGTAACACATTAAATTAAACATGAAATTTTGAAGTAGAAAAAAATGAAAGTATTTTCTTGTAAAACAGTCTACTCCAATATTTTTTATTTTATTTACAGCCTATAAAATGTAAAATCTGTGTTCTGAAGCAAAACAATTTAAGACCACTGCATTCATTTATAGAGGATTTTTATAAGGATACAAGGATGATTTAAAGGCGTTCCATACAGATAGAAAAGTTTATTTTTTATGTTTCAGTAATATAGACATATAAAGAACCATGGCTAAAGTGAGCTTCCTGACCATTTTGGTCAGGCACAAACTCAATAAAGGGAAACAAATTCAGATATTGACGACATCACCTTGGTCGGCTGAAGTCGGAGACTCTACCATCACACACACACACACACTCTCTCAAACATCAACAAGCCCACACACTGGGCTGTGCGTTTTTCTTATTGAAGTGAGCAAGGGTCAGCTGGGTTGGCCAATGTTATTACAGAGTGTAATATCTGTGTTTGACCAGAGGGCTACAGGGATTTGGCCGCCTAGGCCTGACCGGCAGGCTGCCGTAAACACCGGCTCTTGGCTGTAATGAACCGTTTAGGGTCAAATGGCACCACAGCCCAGGAGAAAGTAGAAAGTAACGCCATCATCGAGGGCCAGTCAGAAGCATTTAGCTGCTATAACAAATCGGCCCTTTGCGAGAATCTGATATTTCACCGCTTTACTTCATTGGGTCTTTTTTATGAGCACTGCCCTACTGTCAATATACCTATACCACTTGGTATTTCAGCCAGACTTCATCCCATCTTGACAAACATCCAAAGAGAAGCTATTCACTGTTATTTGACGACAAAACCGATTTAGCTATATTGAAAGGTGAATTCGAAACGCTCTTGGAGAATAAGAAAAGAAAATAGCAAATAAAACCACACTGCAAACCTGTCAGTGAAAAAGGGTGGTATAAAAGTTCATTTATCAGAGGTGACTTGTTGGGTGAGGGGCTTTTTCTGCAACTACTGCTAATTATAATTGACTTAAAAGGAGAAAGCCCCATCATGCTGCAATATTCACAAACACAAGTGTCATTACCTACCTATTCATGAGCTACGAATTCCTCCTCTTAGCAGTCAGGGGTCTGCAAATTAAAGCCAACATTACCCAACTAAATGAGAGAAAAAAATATACACGGGAAGGATAAACAAACAAATCCACCGAATAACAAGTTTATTTACCACTGATTTCCGAGAGAAAGTAAAGAGAGTTTGAAGATGTTCGGTAACGGCTGACATTTGTTCTGTCTTGCACAAACTGCTGCTCATAAGGAACAATGAGGTTTGATTAAACAACGAAGGAAAAGACTCAGTCCTATTAAACCCAGTTCCGCTGACATTTCATTTTAAATGTCACAATAGAGTTTTAGCATCAGGGAACAGACATCCACTGTGAAAAGGAAGAGGAAAAAAAGCAGAAAATGTTGACATTATATCAGAAAATGCGGGAAGATCTCATGGATAAAGACATTTCAGCTGCCGGGATTATATTCGTAAGGACTGCATGTAACAGCGCCTTTCATTTAAAAAGGTTTTCTTTTATTCATATATTCTCCAGTGTGGTTGTCATATAAGATAAATTATATAATTATTTATCATCCTCAGAACAAACAATTCCATGGTGTCAAAAAATCCCGCTTAGAAGATGGACTGCACAAAATTTACAAAGATAAAGAATAGTATTTGAGATACAAAGAAATTGAAAGGCATCTGTGTATTGCTGCCCCCTTATTGACAGAACCTAAACTGCAGAGTTCAATTTGAAAATTAATCTAATCTTTTATATGTATATATAATAAAAACCAAATTTGTTTAATTACCAATTAAACAATCTAGAACATTTTAGTACATTCAGTAGTCATTAATATCTTCATATAAAAAAAAAGATTAGTCAAAGTGCTCAAAAAAATCATACAAAATTAAATGACTTCGATGTCAACAAACACGTACACTCTCCCAGACAAACATGCGCGCGCACACACACACACACACGCACATTAATGATCCAATCTTTCTAAATGCCAAGTACTGGTAATCCTTGACTGGAGAGAAATCAAAGAGAAGAAAAGGTTGCCATTAAACAGTCACAAGCTCTTCAGCACCAGATGCCTTTTATTCACACTCTTTTACGCTCCATCCTTCTTTTCTTCCTCTGCGTTCATCTCTCCAGCTGCGGAGAGAAACGCTGTGGGGTCGGCAAAAATCCCTGGGATGAGTCGTCTGGTCACGGATGGCAGAGCCCTATCGGACGGCCCTATTCTCCCTGCCACTTTCCTGACAAACATTTGCTCTGAGGCTTAAGCGTAGCCCTGAACTCGGGTTTGGGAATGCCAATCAGAGGAGGAGAGCAGGGCCCGGGGCCGAATAGTGGAAGGGTACGTTCCCTGGGAGCCTGGAGGCAGAGCGAGAGCCTTTGGCAAAGACAAACAACGGGACATCACTGAGGGACTCTCTTCTCTCTCTCTTTTGCTGCTCCTATTGATATGCACATGCAGAAAAGCATCGGCTGGTCTTCAGCAAAGACAAAAGATGAGCAGAAAAAGAAAGGCTAGAGAGGAGTCCTCTCCATATGTGGCTGCGAGGGGGTGAATGGGGAAAAGAAGAGAGAGGGGAGACTGTGAGAGCTCTCTGTTGCTGTTTTGTTGCATTTTCACACAGGCCTTCAGTTTTAGGGCCCCAACTGTAAAACAAAAACCTTCCTCACATGTTAGTAACTTTTTCTCAACGAGACGTTTGTGAAGAAACGCGGTGGATTACGCTGAGCTTTTGTTTCACGTTCACATGTTTATTTTCTGGCATTTTCGGGCACAAAAGCGAGCACTTGGACACGTTAGATAAAAATGTTCCCATCCCAAAAGAGGGAAAATCTTCCTGTGGAGCCAAAGTAACTAAAGAACTCTCCAGCTAACTAAACCAACTCTGATAGAGAGACGTGCAACCAATAAGGTGTTCTCTTACAAAAAACGTTCGTATCGCACGCAATTTGTTTCTCCTTAGAAAACAAATCTTCTCCCTCTCCCCCTCGTTCTCCATCTTAGGAAGAAAGAAACAGAATGCCTGAGGATCAGCCAATCGGGGCCACAGCGGCCCGTTTGATTCAGCTTTGTCCAGTCACTCGCTCCCCTACCAAGCCAACAGCTTCGCTTCCTGCTTCTCTTTTCTCTACCCTGCGGGCTCTACTCTCCAGTTGTTGTAATCCCGGCAGAAACACTTAAGGTTCACAGTAGGTGCTCATCAAAACCATCTGCTGAGGGAAA